GGTGTCCCTGCAAAAATCATTTCTGATGAATAATATTCAGGAGTCCAAATGTTTCCCTTATCTGGAGTTCTTAAAGAAATATTATGATTGAGAGATGTAAAAGTCAAAACCATATTATACAGTGGCCTTTAAAATAAACTATAAATAATATTCCTGCTTATTCAAGCTGTATGTAGAAACAGGTCAGAGAGTGTCAGGACTAGTAGTAACTGAAAAGATAAGTCGTAAGAGAAATACAGGGTGTGTGTGTGTGTGTGTGTGTGTGTGTGTGTGTGTGTGTGTGTACATACATGTGTACAGACACAGAGAATAGGAATTGCTTTTAAAGCACAACTTGAATTCTAAAGTAGATAAGGGAATAGTGTTTGTGGCTGGATGATTTTGACCACTAAAACCCTCTCAGGTAGTAGCTCAGTAACCCACTGGTATCTAGTCTTAGATTTTAGCTACAGGAATTCTGGAGCTGGAAAGGACCTGTTTCTTACACAGCATCTGCATGTGGTAATTATAGCTAACACACTTCTATAGTGATTTCTGTGTGCCAGACCCTAACCTAAATGCTTTGTGCCCAGCCATTCATTTACTCCTCACAACACAGGTTTCCAATAAGTGATGAATGAGTAGAAAATATAGGAGACTGTATTTTCATTAACATCTCTGAGAAAAATAGTCAGTGTGTCCAGTTAGCACACCAACTCTTCCTTGCAGAGCTCGAAAACATGAGCATGAAGAATACTTACAAAACTTCAGTGATGATAGGAGGAAAACAGTATTCATTTGGGTAAATTCTTAGTAATACATCTCAATGTAGAGTTAGTTTTTAGTGACTGAGTATATTTAATTTACCTTCAAAGTGTTACTCAAAGTAAACTGCCAGGGAAGATTGTACAGATCCCAACAATCACCCCAATCCTTGTGTAACGATTTCTTGAAATAAAGTGATTCTAAGGTTAGTTGGGAAATTTTTCAGTTATATAAATTTCAAATGTTGGTGGCAGTATTTTTTTGTTTTTAGTTTTTCATTCTTTTTTAACTATTGGATTTCTCCGCAAACCTAGGCTAATAATCATTATGGAATAGGAAACTCTTACATTTCCATTACTTGTCCAGTGATACACCCGGTGTTCCTGGTAGAGCTTGAAAACATGAACATAAAGAAGTCTTTAGTGGGGAGGAAACAGAAGAAGGCAGCCATCTTAGCCTCTCCTACATTACAACCACTTCTACCATTTCAACAAAGTATTTACTTATTCGTGTCAGACCCTTCAAGGCACTCAAACTCATTGCGTTTATGTTCAAAACAGTTCATTTATTAACTGGTAAAATTAGAAGTAATTTTATCAATGCCAATCATTAGACTAATTAATAAATCAAAGGCTATCATCAAATGCCTTTTCATATATGAGACTTATGTCTTTTGTATAGTACTTATTTACAGCTAATTGTTGTGACATCCCTGTTTCTCCCCAAAAGAGAAAACGAGTTACTTTGTAATTGATACCCAGATTTTATTAAACTATGATTTTGTTTATGCTCACTTTATTTAAGTATCTGATTTTAATATTACCCTGTGTTTCTTATGTAGTTAATAGTGTTTGTGATTAAACTATGATTCAGTCATTTTGCCTAACAGTAGTTTATTGCAGTTGTGACCCACAACTATTTCTATTTTTAGGAATATATGTTGCTTTGATTCAGGAAAAATTTCAGGAGTAATATATTCATATATCAAATATTAAAAATTTCAAATATAAAAATAATTTGAGGCTTCTTTAAATTTTAAATAAATTGTGAAATATATTGGTATTAAGATCAAAATGTATAAAATGCATTTATTTCCCCTTTAATTTAATTAATATCTAATATTATTCAGGTGATTGCTGTATATAGTCCCAACTTCAAAAATTTCTCTTATACAGTTTCTGTTATAAATGGTGGCTAGAGTCACAAGATAATTCACAGCCCCATTTTAATCTGAAATTTAATTAAAAATGACACTGATAATAATTTAAATAGGCACTGGGTCAAACCTAGAAAGGTTTGGAGTAAATGAATCTTGTCTTTGGCATGTCATACCCCTTTTTTGGTGTATTTTACTCAGACTATGAGTTACTGCCTCCCTAGGGATTCTGTGCTACCCTTGTTGACCTCAGGTTTAAACGTGGCTCCGTGTAACAGTGTTTGTCCCCTGACTCCCAGCCCATATGGTTCATTTGCCTCTTAAAGACCCATTTCCCCCAGCCGTGGGCTCAGGTCTCTATTCTTTTAGGGTGTTGTGGCCAGCTGGGTCACGTCAGTGCAGTTCAGACTCTCTGTCTATGGGATCAACTTCCACATCTTCTCCCATTCTGTAACTGGCCGAGGTGTACCATCAGTGAAATTTAATCATGATACTATTCTCCCAATCTGTGGGAAAAAATTTAAAGCCTTCCTAAGTATGGCATCTGTTCTAATATAAAGAAATGTTCAGTTAATAGTAAATTGTGTATGCATTTACTCTGAGTTTAACATAACATTATTTCATGCTGTTCTGCAAAAAAATACAGGTTGAGGGAGGGAGATAAAAGCCGTGTTTAAAAAAATACGTTTGATTCATTTTTCTATTATGGGTAACCCCTATTTCAATGACATTTTGGGTAGTAGAAGTTAGTTACGTTTAGAATTGGGAATGCCATATTCACCTCCATATTCCTTGGGCCTAATAGTATGACATAACACATACTCAATAAGTATTTATATATAGAATAGAATTGAATTCTTCAGAGTGAAAATATTTCTTTTTTGCTTTTTAAACAGTCTTTATGGTTCTTAGCCTAGCATAGCCATCTAATTCTGGTATCTGCTGTTTTCAGCTAGCATAGATGAATAGATCGTGGTACATAGAGGCTGGATCCATGTGTGTTCTATTAGATGGAGAGCTCTGTAGCTCCTAATGCTTTCCATACAATGAATTGTCAGCAAAGATGACCATGAGCTCATGGATACTGAAGAGAAGAGAGGCCTTTGAGGCTTAAATAAATGTCTAGTGAGTAAAAATTCATTAGTGATGTCTTCATTTGACATATTTAAGTTAATTTTAAAAATCACCCTATGTGGTACATGTCAACCTGAGTCACATCTGTAAAAGATAATCAATAGAAATCAGTTTACTGTTCTGTAATTATATGTATCAATTTATTATGCCTTTTAAAATCAGTGAGCCATTGAGTAATGTTTCCCCAGTTGCCTTCTGCAGTGAGTGACTGATATAATGGAACTGTAGCTGGGATGATGAAGAGTATTTATCCTGGTTTTGGGCACATTATTTTAATATGTGATATCTATCACTTAGCAACATGCAAAATCATAGTCATTAGTACATCTCGGGAGATTTCTGTCTCCAAATTGTTCCTGTAGAAGTCCTGCAGATATTTCACTTTTCTACCTTGTGAATAAATATATATAAACTCTCAATTTAGAGTTACCCACCTATCTATTCCTTGTAGAGGAATTGTTATTCTCCTCAATTTTATCTAATATTTCAGAGCATCTTCAATCATCAGGTTTTTAAATAACAACACTTAGTGAGATGTCATGTTTGCAATGATCTCACCCATTTAAATACATCTCACTTCTCTGAGCTCCTCCAACATACATGTTTTTTGTCCATTTATTTGCCATCTAATCTTATGCCTCCTAATACATTTATTTTTAAGCCTTTTTTTAAATATCTTGACCAAGTCAAAATATTCTGCACAGCCTGTATTTAATATTATTAAATATCATAACCTGTTTATTAGATCTGAATGATAGTGGGATATAAGTACATTTTGCCTCTTTGTTTGGAACTTTGAGGTATTACAATTCATTGGTTATTGCCATACAAATGAATCACCTCCCTTAGGAAACTTATTCTAATCTATGGAATGGCATCTTGTTTTTGGAAAGGGGAGAAGGGATGAGAATCAAAGGAGAGAAAGGAATGTTGCTAAGATAAACTCTTAAGTTGTATTTTAACATTCTCCATTTTTATTCAACAGCTAAATAGGATTAATATGTAAAAAGGAAAGAATGTTACGAATATTGCATGATGTCAGCATATATTTTGAAATGTCACGTGTATTACTGGCCAATCGTATAATAAGTGGGATATTATAAGTAGTACCCCTTTTTAATTCAAAAGAACTGATAATAACTTACAAGAGTGTAAGATTCTTAAGGGCAGTGTTTTCTTAGTGTCTCATTCTTAGCATATAGTAGGAGGAAAAAGGCTTGGCAAATGTTTGTTGAATGGGCAAATGTATGGATGTTTTCTTTCTCAATACCTTTTCTCTGTTATATGGGAGAGTGAGGGAAGCACTTGAGGGATGCTTAGTGAATCTGTTCAACAGAAGCTATTTCATTTAGGGTTTAAACTGAACAGATAGAAAATTGATATTTATGTGTATGTGTGTAGATTGGTAAATGTTGTCCATAGCTTTCTCAACTCTAAGTTCTTTGAAGGCATCCTATTCTGTTTTTTCATAGAGCCTAGCACAGTTATTTATATAGGAAAACATTTTGTCAATTCTAAGATGCTGTTTTTTTTTTTTATACTTGTAAGTATTATTTAGGCATATAAGAACCTCAAATCTGTTTTCTTGTTTAAGCTATTTCTTGCTACAAAGTTGTGTTTATAGTGGCTACCAAATAGTAGTAGATTAATTTGCTCAATAGTATATAATTTGAAAGTTGTCATTGAATTAAATGCTCATCCAAGTTAATCTTAACTGCCAAATCTACCTCTTTAAGCATTGAATTTAGTATTAGGGTTCATTGAATGTCCGTAAACTTTAAAAACGTATTTTGTGATTTTTGATAAATAGGGACAATATTTAATAATTTGTGAACTTGAAAAATGAAGGATCTTCCCTAGTACTTTTGGGTAAATGGTATGGAGTAGTGTTTAATAAAATGTTTCAATGTCTTCTTAAGAGTTCTTGATTCAAATTGTAATCCTGTTTCTCCTGCTCCTTCCATAGCTTCCTGCAGATTTCACAAAACTACACCTTACTGATAGTCTCCACCCACAGGTGACGCACGTTTCTTCTAGCCATTCAGGATGTAGTATCACTAGTGATTCTGGAAGCAGCAGTCTTTCTGATATCTATCAGGTAAGAAGGTCTTTTTCTTGTCATTTGTTTCATTTTTATGTATTTCGAGGAGTTTTATGATTCTTAATTGATAGGATCTATAAAGTAAATATATGTGTGTTATATGTACTTTTAGGTACATATGTTAATGTTAATGTTCATGCTTCACAGAGACATATAGTATGTCTGGGGAAATAGAACTACTGTCTAACTGTATTTGCCTCTGCTATTACCAGTTATCAGGATTTTAAATGGAGTGGTTACATTGGAGATGTTTCTCTGGACTTCAAATATTTTATAAATTTGACTATAGACATATTAGGTTTAGGACTCTTTTCTTGTTAAAACTCTGGGGGAAAACTGCAGAATTATACTACATAGTAAGTTTTTCTTATTAAAGTCTTCAGTATGACGAGGAAGAGATTAGTATTATTGGATCATTAGATTCTTTTTGTTGCATTTTTAAATTATGTATAGGTTTAGTTATGTGTTTAAAATAAATTCTTATGATACTGATGGATAGAAAAGAAGCCAGAACCATGGAATTCCAAAGGTGTTTTAAAAGCAAAATAATTTTAATTGTTGAGGAATAGTTCATTGGCTTAGAATATGCAAATTTTGGAAAAGTGGCTAAAATATGCAAAAAAAAAGCGCCCATCTGTGGGGAGATCTTTAAATACATACTACTAATATGGACTTTTGGATGGTTTCAAACAACAACATAGTACTCAGTTTACAAAGTATAATTCTTGACTTCATAGGAATTGTGATATGAGATGACCATAGAGGTACCTTTCTTCAGAAACATTATAGTGTTTCAAGATCATTGAAATATTCAGGCAGTGCTAAGTTTCTATTTAAAAAAAAAAAATACTAACAATAATTAAACAATTAGAATACTATCAGGGTAAAACATATTTAAGTTCTAAATTTAGTAGATCTTAGAAAATTAATTTTATTTCAAGGAAGTAATAGGTACACACTTTTCTATAATTCAAGGGTATTGTAGAGAGCTTACTAATAATAGCCACAAATGCAATTATTTGCAGATTCTTGGCTGAATAAGAATTTATTATTTTGCAATAAGAAATATTATCTGGCTCTTTAAGATAATTTTGATACAATATCAAATGCAAAGATAGATACTTTGCATTAAGTGTTAACTTATAATAAAATTTTTAGGAAGGAATCACATTTTCAGATGTTAGAGGAGGAGAAGGTGCTAGATATGGGTAAATTTTCTCTCCTTCCTCCACCTGCCAGTACTACCAATTTTTAGAAGTTGATTTTTTTTTTTTAACGTTTACTCGAGTATCCCTTATTCTAAGACAATGAATGGTATTCCTAAAAGCTGTGCTTTGTCGTAATTGGAATATCATGATGGAGCCCCTGTCTTCTAAACTGTGGGGTGATTATACTCGTTAAAGATCTGCAGTGGAAACACAGCTTGAGGTGGTAGCAGTTACCATTGCTGTCAACTCTATACAAACCTAAGTGGAACTCCTAGAAGGCAAATTTATAATAAGAATGAAGTAAGTGGTTCATAGAATTTATTGAGGCATATTCTGACTGGAATTCTGGCTTTACGTGTTTAAACCTTGAGTAGGCTAGGATAAGTTCATGAGGAAATTCTTGACGGTACAGAATCTGAGAATCCAGACTGTGGGTGAGAACTCCAAATTGCTCTGACATGGTCTGCCTGCAGTCTGACTTTATCTGGGGGTATAGATGAAATAGAGGGTCTCTGTGTACTTTGATTGATTTTAGTTGAGTGTCAAGGCTATCCACTTCAAATTTGATGGCAGACATGTAGCCTGTTTATATCCTTCAAAAGGAAGAATCCAAAGGTGTACCTAAGGTTTTGTTATTAGCTATATTAAACTTAACATTTAATAGAGATCCCCAAATGGACCATTTCCATTATCTTTAAATCAGAAATTCTTAAGGTGGAGAAGAAATCTGACAGATGCACTTGGTTCAGTGACTAGTCTTATATTTGAGTCCTCTACTGCTTTTCTGTCAGTGAAGCAAACAGTTTATTCTGGAACATTTCCAGGGATGGACAACTATCTCCCATGGCAGTCCATTTAATCTCTGTATAATTCTGACTTAGGAGAAGTTTCTCCTAAGTCAGGAAGTTGTCATGTTGAGGTGAGTATAAATGCTTACAGGATGGACACAGGTTGAAATTGAATGCTGTATGCCAGAGAGAAAAAGGTAGAATAATTTTTCTAACAGGATAGGAGGAGAGGAATTCAAAAGCAAAGTGAATAACTAGCTTTAAGAAGAGAAGCCTTCCTCTGTTTCTACAGGTACCTATTATTGTGGTGGGTTTGGATTGGGGAGTTTGAGAGTTGAGGGCATTTCTCTGAAGACTTCAGTTTTTCCCTCTGAAGAAGTTGAGTTCATTTGTTGAGAGTGGGAGAGTTAGCTGGTCGAGAGTTTTAAGGAGAGAGAAGTTTTGAAATAGATGCTTCAGAGAGTAGGAGAGCAAATTGACTAGAGTAATGGAAGCTCAGTTGAGAGGGTGCCCTCAAATACAGAGTGACTTCCCTCTGCCCTATTAAGTATTTTTTTTTTCTACAGCAAGCACAAAGAAAGCAGAGATTTGGCTGCACCCAGGCCTGGAGTTTTGTTAAATGAGTGTATCACAAAGACGGATGGAGCAACATGCCAACCTCTTTTAACTGCTGAGCTTTGTTTTTGCATGCCTTCTGCCTGGAATGTTTTCTCCTAGCTTGATCCTTTTCTGCTTCGTTTTCAAGTACCATCTTCTCAGAGAGTTCTTTGCTTATTACTGTCTGAAAAGTAGGTCTTGCATTTTGGTTCCTTTCCTGGCTATTCCTTTTATTTAGACTTTTTTCCCCAAATGATTATTGCTTTCTCTGTTCTGTCTGCTTACTAAAATGACAGCTTCAAGAAGATAGGGAACTTCTCTGTCTTGTCTCCATTTGCTCTCTAGAACCAGGAAACTGTGGGTACTCAGTAAAGATATGCCAAATGAATGTGATTGAAATATTGAACTAGGTTTTATAAGCTGAAGGTGGGAAAACTAGACATAGAAAGTAGTAGAGTCTTGAAGACTAAAGATCATGCTTGAGTTGAAAAACGGTTATCTTTGAAACAGATGGAAGCAATTGAAAAGTAGGAGTTTTTTGGCAGTAGAAAACAGAATGCCTAAGTTGGGGATATGAGAGTGCAATTCTAGCCATAAGATCTTGGCTACATAGTGTGATTATCAGAGCAGTGGTTTGGTGGACTGGAAATAGTTGTTCAAAAATAGATCAATAGAACAGAGAGTTCAAGTAAAATGGAATTCATGTGGAAGGATGTAATAAGCAACAGGAATCCTCACACATCAGTGAAGAATGTGATGGATTATTCAATAAATGATCTTTGGGGTGGGCTGGGTCACTTTATAGCCTCACTCTATATCATTCTTAAGACTAAATTCCAGATCAACCAAAGAGTTAGCAAACTCTTATGGTATAACAATCAAAATAATTTAATAGTTAAAAGATCATTTGAGAGACAAAGATTTAAAGTCAGACTATAACTCATGTAGGCAAATTAGTAAGAAAAATACTTGGCTCACCATAAAACAATATTCAAAGGGCAAGAGGAGGTAATTTGCAAAAGAGTACATGCAGATACCTGTACCTTAAGTAAAATCCTTAAAACCTATTAGTAATTGAGTGTATGAGGATTAAATATACTATTTTCCTGTCAAATTAGCACAGGCTTTCTTACTTATAATAAATGTTTACAGATGGACATTCTTACACCTGTTAAAATTATAATTTTTGAAGGGGCGCCAGGTGGCTCAGTTGGTTGAGCGTCCGACTTCGGCTCGGGTCATGATCTCACAGCTCGTGAGTTCGAGCCCCGTGTCCAGCGCTGTGCTGACAGCTTGGAGCCTGGAGCCCGCTTCAAATTCTGTGTCTCCCTCTGTCTTCCCCTAACCCACTCACATACTGTCTCTGTCTCTCTCAAAAATAAACATTAAAAAAAATTTTTTTTTAAATTACAATTTTTGGAAAGAAACCTAACAATTTATACTAAATGCTGTAAAACTGTTCCTTTTAGGCATAAATATATTTAAAGTCTATATTGAAATTAAATAAATTGATGTGTGAAATTAGGAGCAGCATAAATTATAATACACAGGCTAGACTTAGTGCAAGCATTATACTTATTTCCAAATATTTTCATATTTTCTACATATACAGTGAAAACTTGGATTGTGAGTAACTTGTGCAAGTGTTCCACAAGACAAGCAAACATTTCTAATAAATTTTAACTTGATAAATGAGCGTTGTATTGCAATATGAGTAGTACGTGATGTCGAATGTCACATGATCACAACTGGGCCAATGGTTCTTGAAAGTCGCTTTCATATATATGAGTGCTTTGGGTTACAGGCACGTTTCCAGAATATGAATTATGTTCGCAAACCAAGGTTTTACTGGTTTTCTAGATAGTTCCTACTTACTTGTCTTGGTTAAATTATCGTCAGCATTAGCATTCAATATAGCCTTCTACTAGCCTAAATTTATATCGGGGTCTGACTTAGGTGCTATGTGTATGTACGTTTGAATTCTGCACGAAATTTATTTACATCAAGAATGATTACTAAGCAACCCTTTTAAAAATGTGGGGATATGCCTGTATACTTCATAAGCAAAAACTTTTTTTTTCGTAAATGGTTTTTAAGTACTCGATAAAACATATGTAGAAGTTATTTTTATTTTAGTTAAATTAACACTTCACTGGAGCCTTCATGGCATTTGATATTTCCTCAAGTTTGTCATTTTCTTGATATCCTTTATATAATATATGAAATTGCTTTTGATTTCAGTAAATCATAGAGCTTTTGGCATTGATCTGAGACTATCACTAGTTTTTTTGAGAATATTACTATTTAACTATAATGTACATCCAAATCTATATTAGGCTATACATGTGGAAAGTAAATTAATTTAGGACAGGAGTTATTTGCCTGACTGAATTACGTAAGCCTT